CCCCCCCGAGAGGTCGGCGTCGAAGGATTTTATCCATCCATCGTGTGTCGCAGATCTTCGGATAAAACAAGAGCCGGTGGCGATGACCGATCAAGAGAGGGCGGACAATTTAGCGGAGAGATTGTCCAGCGAGGCGTACACCGGACGGGGGTACGACGGCGGCTCGTACAGCCAGAACTCGGACCATCTGTCGCAAGGAAGTCCGCAGCTGGGTCCGGCGGCGGCGGTGGTGACGATGCCGCCGGCTCATCCACCGACTCCCGATCTGAGTCCCGCGCCCACCACGCCCGCTGTCTGGAACAGGAGGCTCAACAGGGCCGGCACTGTCTCCACTCCCGATGGTAAGTGGATTCACGCGTGTGCTGTCTTTGCGTTGTCGCGCGAGAAGCGCGTGAGACCGCGGCTGTGACCGATCGCAGGATCCGGCGGGCTGTTTCGGGCTTTCCGAAGCTCCTCCGCCCTCTCGGCGCGGCCGTTCGGCCGCGATCTCGCGCGGATCAACCGGAGGTATTAGATCGCAAACATTCGCGGGCGAGAGATAACGGCGCAGCTGGATCTATTGACACATGAAATCGAGGATGATGATACACGGTGAGCGAGCGCATTGCGGACACTGCGGGTTTGTTGAACCGCCGCGCGCTTTCGCGCGCATTTCTTGATTCAACGCCAAAGTACACACCGCCCCGGCGCTCAATGATTAATTCTTTTCTTCTTTTTCTCTCCACGANATATATATATGTGTGTGTGTGTTTGGGAAATTAGCGCTTCGCAGGCCGACAACACGGATCGTCGGATCGGCCGTCATCAGAGGAGGCCGACCGAGTAACACGATTCGGTGATTGCTCAACGCCGCTTTATCGCCGCGAGAACGCGAGGCGGCCTCACGATACGTTCACCGAGAAAAATATTCGGTCATATTTGACCGGATAATCCCTAACGAGAAAGTAACAAACGGATACATATCCGATCGAGTGTAACGTCCGATCATTTTGTCATTTCACCTGGTGAAATCGTGCGCCTTCATCCGATTAAAATCGCAACGGATGTACAAAGGGGGACTAATTTCCCGATTTAGGCATCATCGGTAACTGCATCGGTACCTTCAACGGTAATAATAACGGTACCCGTCATTTGATCGGATAATAAAACTAACAAGTCGTAATCGGTTTGTCCGACGGACATTTCTCCCGGTGTTCTATCTGCGCCTCGATGCGCCGGGGAACGGAAGGCCTTCTGGCGTTCCGGCGGTTACCAAATGCACGGCCGTTGCATCATCGGCTGTGCACGTGGAGTTCACCGTGGATGTTGCAACTGCCGCGTTCCTCATCTCTGCACCTACCATCCCACCGCTCCTCGCCGCTGCGAGGCCGCTCGCAGCGCGATAAAACGGTGCATAAAAAGTGGAGAGAAAGAGAGAGAGAGAGAGAGAGGAGCTCTCCGTGCGCGTCGAGACGCGCCTGACGGCTCCGCGGAACCATCATTCCACATTCTTTCCACTACGAATCTATTAAAAGATTCAGAGTGCGGCCGATTTCTCGTAGGTGTAAAATAACCCTTCCCCCTCCTACCCTCCCCGTCTCTCACGCTTCCTTCCTCTCGTATCCCCTCGATTTCTTAATTTTTCCCAAAGAATCCGGTCGATCCCGATCAACGAAAACGGTTCATAGCTGAGAGAGACAGCGCGCGGTTTGTTTCGGGACACCCCGTAGATCTTTTTTCGTCCACCGGCAACGTCAGTCCGTGGACGTCCGTCCGCTTCGGCGACGCTCTAACGTGCAGAAAGAGAGAACGACGACGACGCCGTGGACGGATGGGATTTAGCCGGTGCCCTCTCTCTCCCTCTCGGCGGCGGCACCGCATGCCTTACGACTTGCCTTCACGGTGTGAACAAAGTGTACAAAGAGGATGCAGGCGACGGTGCAGCCACTGGGAACATCTTTTGCTCCGGCGAGCAAATCACCGAGCGTGACGCTACGACGACGCCACGTGAAACGACGCCGCTCCTCTCACCACCGGCCGGCGCCCCCCCCCCCCCCC